TTTGCAGCACAGGGCAGACATAATTCAGAACACACTCACCAACACCATGTGACTGGCCTCTGTGGGACTTCTTTTTTTTTTTTTTAAGTATAACTGCTCATAACTGCAGTTTCTGTCATGACTTTTCCACTTCCTCAAAATGGAAATTCTGAAAGACTTTTTGTCACTTTACATCAATGGAATAACTGTACGCCTGTATGTGAGTTTGAGTTCTTTGTAGTGAGGTAAAACTGAGGTCATGGTTGTCCATCAAACAGAAAGCCTCATGAAAACTACACTTTTTTTCTCCTCAAATAAAATTAATTAGGGAAAATAATGATAGCTAAACACAATCATTTACATTTTCATCTCTCGACGTCCACAAATACAAATACATCAATACATATACATCAAAAATCAAAAGTGGTCAAAGTATACGATCTGATTGATTCACTTTTAAAATGCAGAAGGCAAATGCTACAGTTTCTGTTGTTATGTCTAATCCTTCTAAAAACATTTGAAATGTTTTTTGTTTTTTTTCCTAGCAAAATAATCATTTCACCACCAAAACTCACCAACAACACACCACCGAAAGGTAAAAAAAAAATAGACACAGTTAAATATTCAAGTTACCGTATTTTCCGCACTATAAGGCGCACCGTGTTATAAGGCGCACCTTCAATGAATGACATATTTTAAAACTTTTTCCATATATAAGGCGCACCGCATTATAAGGCGCTACAGTAGAGGCTGTAGTTACGTTATGCATATGGTGCCGCGCTAAAGGGAATGTCAACAAAACAGTCAGATAGGTCAGTCAAACTTTATTAATAGATTACAAACAAGCTTTCCACAACTCCATTCACTCCCAAAATGAATAAACAGCTGTTTTATTATTTTCTCTGAGGTAAAGCATTAGCATTTTCGTGACACATCTTTAACATCTTTTAACAACAGCAAGGTATAACATTTTACTTTTCCTCCATTCAGTCAACACGCAAAAAACAGTCTGATACTGTTACGGTAAATTAAACGTTAGTGCAATCACAATATAGTGACACTCGTAATGTGCAAAAACAATAACAAGTGCAAAACAATAACAATAACAATA